CTGCAACCTCTACTCCTGCAACCTCTACTCCTGCAACCTCTACTCCTGCAACCTCTACTCCTGCAACCTCTAGCTCTACAAGCTCCAGCTCTATCAGCTCTAGTGCCTTATCCTCATCGGTTTCTGCCAGTTTAACCTCTTTTTCTAGCTCTAGCTCTATCAGCTCTAGCTCCACAAGCTCATCTGCTTCAGCCAGCTCCTCGTCTATCTCTGCTGACTCCTCTGCTTCTGTTAGCTCCTCTATTTCAGCTGTTTCCTCATCTGCTTCAACCTCTGCCAGCAAGTTAGACTCAAGCTCCGCTGCTACGTCCACTTCAGTTGAGCCTACCAGTGAGGAGTCTGCTTCTGCCGAGCCCACCTCAGCTGAGCCTACCAGTGAGGAGTCTGCTTCTGCCGAGCCCACCTCAGCTGAGCCTACCAGTGAGGAGTCTGCTTCTGCCGAGCCCACTTCAGTTGAGCCTACCAGTGAGGAGTCTGCTTCTGCCGAGCCCACCTCAGCTGAGCCTACCAGCGAGGAATCCACTTCTGCTCCTGAGCCTACAGGCTTCTCGACCATCACCACTTCTGAGTCTCCCACCACCACCTCGGCCTCCATAGTCAGCTCTCAATCTGTGTCTCTTGAATCAGGCGTTACATATGGAAACAATGCTGCACCCGTGGATGAGGATGGCAAAGTTGTCGCCGTTGCCCTGTCACCTGGCGCAGACGGTACGGCAGCTTTCGCTGTCGCTGTTCAAGCCTCCTCATCCCCCAGTGACAGCTCCACAACCGTCACATTCAAATACACTGTCAGTGATTCTTCTAAGCGCTTGCGCTTTAAGCGCGCCGCCTTCGAGGGTTGCACTCTGACCATCACGGTTGATGGCAAAGAGGTTTACTCCGGACCTGTGGAGTCGACACCTGCGACTTACAGCAAGGCTAGCGAGCCGTTCACTTTGGAACAAAACCCGAACATCAAGTTCACCCAGACTTGCGGTACTGATCCGGTGAACCTGTCTGTTAAGGACATTGCCCTTGTCACTGCTGCCGTTCCTATCACTACCGGTATTGAGACCGGTTCCACCACTGAGACTGCCACTGAGACCGGGACTGGCTCTGCTACCGAGACCAGTTCTGCTACCGAGACCAGTTCTGCTGCTGAGACTGAGACTGGTTCAGGTTCTGCCACTGGCTCAGCTACTACCACTGGCTCAGCTACTACCACTGGCTCAGCTACTACCACTGGCTCAGCTACTACCACTGAGACTGGCTCTGCTACTGAAACTGCCACTGAGACCGAGACTGGCTCTGCTACCGATACCAGTTCTTCTACTGAGACTGCCATTGAAACTGGAACTGACTCGGCTACTGAGACTGAGACTGGCTCGTCTATCAAAACTGGTTCTGCCACTGCTGCTGACACTGGTTCTGCCAGTATAACTGAGACTGGTTCCAAGACTGGCTCGGCTACTAAGACTGGTTCTGCCGTTGAATCTGAGACTGGCTCTGCCACCAAGACCGGTTCTGCCATTAATACTGCCACTGGCTCTACTACTAAGACCGGCTCTGCTACTGAGACTGAAACTGGTTCCAAGACTGCCTCTGCCTCTGCCACTGTGAGTGGTTCTGTCACCGGTTCTACTTCTGCTTCTTCTGGCGCCACCAGCGTTCCTGGCAACCCTACCGTTGTTGGAGACTTCACTCTCTTCGGCTGTGCCCGCTCTTCTAATGGTTTCCCTACCTTTGACCTTGCTGCGTCCAGTGCTTCTATGGACCTCAACGTTTGTGCTTCCCTCTGCTCCGGCAAGGCCTATTTTGGTGTTTACAACACGTAAGTCCTTCTCAATCTCTCTCGGTGAACCCCTCACTAACAGAAACTTAGTGACTGCTACTGCGGCGAGGAAGTTAGCTCCGCTAGCGTGACCCGTGTGGCTATTGACCTTTGTGATACTGAGTGCCCTGGTGACAAGTCTGCGTTCTGTGGTGGTAAAGCCGTCTCTAGCCGTATTGTGCGCCGTGTCGTCCCCAGCAACATCTTACTCACTGTCTACATTAAAGCTGTTGCTGCTGACACTGTCACTGAGTTGGCTACCATCACTGCAACTGTTTCTGGCACCACCACTATCACCACCGAGGTCACCAAGACCGTTGCTGGTCCCAACCCTACCACCACTGTCGTTGAGGAGATATACATCTGCATCAATGGCAAGTGCACTGCGCAGTCCGATTCTGGTTCTCGTGTTGTCTACATCATGATTGAGGCCAACGGTGCCGAGTGCGATAACCAGTGGGTTTATATCTCTTCTCCTTGCTCATGCCAGGGTGGGAAAGAGTATGTCGCTATTTTCTGTTCTGATGGAAGCTGTACTGGCAAGACTGTCTATAAGGCCTCTGAGTGCCCTGATTGGTATAACTATGAGACCTTCTTTGTCCCTGCTGACTGCGGTTGTGGTAAGAAGGGTGAGGCTGCCATCAAGTTCACTCCTTGGGAGAACAACTGGGGTACTCCCGAGAAGTGCAACGAGGAAGAGGTTCCTGTCTGCACTGACTGCACCTACGCAACCCACTACGCCACTGGCAACCGTACCACCTCTGGTTCCAACGGAAGCTCAGGATCTGGATCTAGCTCTGGTTCCGGCTCTGGTTCCGGCTCTGGTTCCTCTTCTTCTGGTGGTTCTGGCTCTGGCTCTGGAAGCTCAGGTTCTAGCTCAGGTTCCTCTGGTGGTTCTGGCTCCTCTTCGGGTGGTTCTGGTTCCTCTTCTTCTGGTGGTTCTGGCTCTGGCTCTGGAAGCTCGGGATCTAGCTCAGGTTCATCTTCTGGTGGCTCTGGCTCTGGCTCCTCTTCTGGTGGCGGTTCTGGCTCTAGCTCTGGAAGCTCAGGTTCTAGCTCAGGTTCCTCTGGTGGCTCTGGCTCTGGCTCCTCTTCGGGTGGTTCCGGCTCTAGCTCTGGAAGCAACACTCCTGACAATTCTGGGAATGGCAGCCCTGGTTCTGCTGCTGGTACCGCTGGCTTCTCGAAACCCAGCCAGCAGTCCGGCCTCCCCGTTACTGCTGGTGCTGTCAAGCAGACTGGCACTTCCATCGCACTTGTCGCTTGCGTTGCTGTTGTCGCAGCGCTCTTTTAAAAGGTATCTACTATTGTCTTTGTGAGACATCTACCAGCAGTGTGTGCAGTAAGATGGGGCTCAGGCTCGTACCTCTGGTCTCATGCACTGTTACATTTTAATTTCTCTTCAATTTCCTTGTCTTGGCTTTGTTTGCGGCCTTTCTTTCCTTTCGAATTCACTATTAGGATATCAGTGTAGCAACTTTATGGTCTTGAACTGTATAATGATGCCTCATACATGTCCAGAACACTATATTCTACTTTAGCTATAAGTTAGTCAAGGGCCAATCTCACTTTCTGGATGGAAAGCCTTGATATAAGATTTTTACTTTATAAATAAGTCTGTATTTTTATTATGCTTGCCTTAAATGCTATTCACAGAAATTTTAATTTAAATTTCTTAGTAGTAAGAAGATCGATATATGGCAGATCATCGACAATATAATACAGCTCGGGACAGGTCAGTCCTTTGCAATCAACCTGGTGGGCACGATCCTTCAGCTTATAGGTCGTCCAAGCTCTACCTGGCCAGCCAGTAGATTCTATATAGACAACAACTGGCCTGTTGAAAGGCTTGTCGGTTTAGAACCATAAATGCAAGCAGTTATATACCTAAAGATATAAAACGACTTGTGGCCCGTAGGGGTTTCCAAGGATCCATCGTCTCGAAAGATGGGCTTCTTATAGGGGCAAAGTTCAAATCTAGACTCAGTAATTCTCTCAAGGTAAGGGTGCAGGTAGTTTAAGCTTTAAGATTAATAGAAAGGGAATAACTGAGGTTAAGATAACGTCAGGTCAAACATATACTATTACTCTCGCCTAATATTCACCAATAAACGAGGTGTTCCAACCTGACTCAAGTGCTCGTCATCGTGCTTTCGTATTGTCGACCTCTTAACTGCCATGTTCAAGGGAGAAACAACTCCAACCGGAGGTACTCCATAATTAGTATACATACCCACTATAAGTTTAGTCCCGTTACCTTGATTGGTTGATAAAGTCCGCTGTCTCTGAGCCCGCTCGTCAATCAGTCCAAATCAGGCAAGTGATCGTCAGCTTCTAATCAAGCCCATATTTTTCCATCTCCATGCTTCGCTTTTCGCTACTTATATCCCGCTTCAGCGCTCTTTCACAGATCTCATTTTACTTTTCCCTCGATAATTTAACTCCTCATCATTATCTCATCCCATCGCGACTTGGGCAATATGTCCAGTAAAACAAGCTTGGTCTTTGTTCCCGGCGCATGGCATAAGCCATCATGTTACAGCAAAGTAATGGAACAACTACAAAACCAACATCATTTGACATGCATTCCCGTCACGCTTCCAACAACAATGGACGACCCAATGGCGTCATTTAAGGACGACGTTGACGCCGTCCGTGGGGCTATCAGACAGGAAACAGAAAAGGGCCGTGACGTGATTGTCATTACGCATTCCTATGGAGGAACGGTTGGGAACAGTGCAGTCAAAGGTTTCTCCAGGCCACCCGAGTCAACCACATCAGGCCAAAGTTCAGTATCACCATCGACCTCCCGCGAGCGGGTTCCAGAGACCGGACACGTTGTCGGTATTATCCCCATCGCAACCGGATTTTGCTTCACTGGACTCACCTTTATGGACCACTTTCTCAACATAACTCCGCCGTTCTTTCGAGTCAACAAAAAGACTGGATATGCAGATCTCACAGTCCGCCCTCAGAAGTTCTTCTACCATGATCTACCACCCGCCGAGGCAGACCACGCGACCTCTATGCTCACCACGCAAAGCCTCAAAGCACTATTTGAAGGTAGGGAGTACTCGTACTCCGGGTGGCTAGATGTGCCTGTATGGTTCATTGGAACTGTTGAAGATCAGGGGCTGCCTATCTTTGTTCAGAGAGCTCAGATCGGGATGGTGAGGGTGCTGGGTGGTCGCGTGGTTTATACCGAGCTGAAGACAAGCCATTCACCATTTCTGAGTCAGCCAAAGCAAGTTGTGCAGATCGTGCTTCAGGCTTTTGAGTCTTTCTCCGGCACAAGAGCTGACGACACGCCCGAGACGCTCGAACTGGCAAACAGGCCGTTCATTCCTTTAGTGAGTCCTTGGCTACCTTTAACATGGTTTCGGTATGGACTGCCTCTGGTTTTTGGGAGTCTTATAGGCTGTACTATACTATTCTATAGAAGGGTCACGGGTTTGTTTCAGTCCGGGCAGATAAAGAGGGACTAGACAACTTAGGACGATGTAAATCGGTAGGGAAAAAAGATCTCCAATCAATGTTTAGATAGTATAGCTTATTGGTTCAAGGGTTGCATGTTCAATTTCGCGTTCTCCTGGACATTTTAGATGATACATAGAGCTCAATCGAGGCTTTACTATCTCTCTCATCCCAGAAGATGCAGCTGCATCTGCGCGACTTGATTTGAGCATGCAGCCTATTCCTGATACAGTCTTTATAAAATTTTCTTTTTGAGATGTCAATAGCCGTGCTTACATCATGGCATGATCTGATAAAAATGGCTGTTACTCAGCCCACCATGATGCAACGTCAGCGCAGTTGGCCATTGGCGAGGCCAGGGTTCCCCTCTCCCTCTCACGTCCACTCTATTCAAACTGTCAAAATATCTCTCGCAATCATTTTGATTCAGCGTCGCATCGCGATAGTTCTTCATGTCGTCGCCAAAGACTAAATCACCGACTGGGCCGTCATCCCCGGCCTCTGGGCCTAGGTCAGCGCCGTCTCCACAGGCCGAACTCATTCCCGCCGCTGACAACGAGGATGTGAGGTTTTGTGAGATGTTGCGTGCTACTAGCTATGCTAACTTAGTGGAAAGGATGTTCGAGACGACGCCGACTCGACGCTTGAAACAGACGCGTAAGATTTACTACTACCGGCATGATCAGCCCATACTGACAGCAATCTTTAGTGACAGCTCAACTGCCTCTGTTTCTTCCAGTATCCTCCACTACAGAAGTATTCAAGGTCGCACGTTCCATAGCGACAAATTCGTGACTGAGTATTCTTTTCCGAATGACGAACAACAACTCGAGTCTGTTGATATTAGGTGAGAGATGCCATCCTCACCCTTGATGTCGCCTGCTCATTAAATGCCCAGCCATCATTACTTGACGGTTCTGCTTGACGGTCAATTATACCTAGCTCCCATCGGAGATAACGTCCAGGTATGTGGAGAATGAGTTGCGGGTATAAATGATCATAGATGTTGATATATGAAAAGAAAGCGCTTGACGTAGGCACGGGAAGTGGTAAGTCGGTGTAGAGTTGATTCATGATCATAGCTAATGAACCGACTAGGGATCTGGGCAATGTAAGAAGACTACATGCTCTATTACACGAAGCGATGCTGACACACTTGCAGAGACTTCGCAGATCAGTTCCCGCAAGCAGAAGTAACAGCAACTGATCTCTCACCAACACAGCCAAAATGGGTCCCCCCAAATGTACGTTTCGAGATCGACGATGCCACCGAAACATGGACTTGGAAGGACAACACCTTTGATTTCATCCACATGCGTTATCTCTTTGGCGCCATCCAAGATTGGACTGCTTTGTACCAACAGGCCTACCGTGTTTGTACACCAGGAGGCTGGGTTGAGTCTGTTGAGGCCGACATTCATTTCCGTAGCGACGATGGCACAGCTGAAGAACAAGAGGTCTATAAACTGTGCAACAAGCTTTATGAAGAAGGTGGCAAAGCGATTGGTCGAACGTTCTTTGTGCATGACTTGCAGCCGAAGGGGATGGAAGACGCGGGGTTTGTGGACATCAAAACAGTGGACTACAAGGTGAGCGCCCGATTGTCCAGTGTGCTCTTACAAGACTGATTCCATGCGCGATTACAGATTCCAATTGGGGATTGGCCCAAGGACCCGAGACTTGCTGAGGTCGGAAGATTTGTCAAGCTGACATTGGAGAATGACATGGAAGGTATGATGAGTTTATGCTTTGTTTCTGCTCTATGCTCACAGATTGTCTAAGGATATACTTTACTGTTGTGGAACAATGTGCTGCAATGGCCAAAGGACGAGTATCAAGTGTTCCTGATGCAGAGTAGAAAGGCTCTGCGTAACCGCAAGATTCATGGTTATTTTGTGGTACGGTATGTATATGGCCGCAAGCCAGAATAATTCACGGCATAGCCCAGCGATTATGCATTGTCCCTCAAGTGGTATTTGGTTCCAATATTCACTTTATAAAGTCATTTGTTCGAGTGAAATTATTGAAATCGCTCAAACACTAAAAGTCCACCATCATCATCAAACATGCTTATTAACACCCAAGCCGGTCAGGGCAGCGATAAGAAGGTTCAAGGCAAAGCTCTCAATTGAACAATTATGTGAATGGAGCTATGATATGCAAGAAATATACCACTATGTTCTTGAGACATGCGAATTACTTAAATTTGCATAAAGTGTTTCAGAATATACTCAACTATATGCCGAGGACCCATCGTTTCACGTAGGTCTGGCATTTGAAACCAGATTTGCACGACTCTCAGGTGAAGTTCACTGGACTGTAGTGAGACATGAAGAGTAAATGAGAGAATCTCACAAAAGGTCATTTGTGTGACTTTTCTCAATGTTGTTGGTAGCGAAGTCATGGAATTAATCAAGCGACGTTGCCAAGCTGATTCATTAGCGTTAGTGTGCATTCCGCTGATGAGATGAGTTTAGAGAGCCTGACTCCGAGGCTTTGAGACGTCATTGAATCGCATGAGAGATCACGGGATTAAATTGCATTTCGATACTGTAATCGGGGTTACTGGCTGTAATTTGTTCTAGAAGTAATAATTGGTGCGAGCCCCATAAGGAATTTCGTCATGTGAAATGGATTGCATTAAGCTTGATGACATTTACGTTTTAACGAGATGTTTACGAAGCACGGACGACAACAACGCCTTCTCACCTCAACCTTTCAACTCATGTACACACATCAATTCATTGGTCTGTACTCAGTATTGCCTCTCTATGAATCTCATGGTCTATCGTTTACTTTGAGCATGTCTTGGCCTGTTCTCAATTGACAATTGTTGACTCTAGGTTAGAATGCAACCTCGGCCATGTCTACCCCACCTCTTTTACTGGAGAAAACTATCCTAAACAAGTCAAGCCCATAGTGAAATCATGCAGTAATATCGGCTAAGCCCGAACTAGGCACCGGCTCATTTGAAACAATGAAGGGGGTAACGTCAAGCGAGCAATGCAACGCATTCCTCGCCCCTTTTGCCCCCAAACCAAACATGGACCTGTAAACAAACACAGAGCAGTCAAAACTTATGACTGCTTTTTACAAGCAGCCAGAAAAATAGTGTGTGATGCAATCGGTATCTTTGATGCAACCCTTTTGATCTGATCTTGGAAAAGAAAAGAGAGAGTCGTAAGGCAAGACAATGGCAGGCAACAAGACCAGCACCAGCAACAGCAACGATAAACCTCTGTGGCGACCGCTGGCCCATAAGCTCTCCAGCCTGATCCCGCTGCGACGCCTCAATAAAGCCAAATCCAAGCCCGACGTCAGGTCCGATCACGCTACGCACTCCAATGCGTCCGACTTTCGACTTGATGTCCAGTTAAACGGCATCGAGAGCCTGCGCCTTCCGAGTAGTTGGCTCTTCCAGCCCAAGGACGCCGACAAGCAGCAGCAGCAGCCTGTCGACGCGTCGTCACCGAGACTTAGTCATCACTTTTCGCGGAAGCCAGTCAATCGCAATGAAGGCTCCCGGCCATTGACTTTTATCGACAGCAGCGATGCAGACCAGCGCCACGCTCGGGCATCGGCGCTGGAAGCCCTCAACAGTTCAGATGCATCGACTACGCCTAGTATTTTGGACCGTGGGCGACCGGTCGAGGCCAGGCATTTAATTCACCAGCCGGCCAAGAACCTCAAGAACCATCGCAAGTCATTACCTCTGGACCTGGAGACTATGTTCCAGGCCCCTAACGAAGATCACGATTCAAATGCACTACGCACCGCCACTATTCGCCTGGTGCCGAATGAAAGTCTCATCACCGCTCCATCAACTCCATCTGTAAAAGAATCGCCAAGATGGACTGCAGAGCGTGAGGCACGGTTAGCCATGCCCCCACCACCAAGGCCACTCAGCACCAGCCCAATTGACTCATCGTCTACTGCTACGCCCTCCAAGCCAATTCAAATCCCACGAAACCCTCAATTGGCATTAAAGAGACCCACCAGCCTCGGGCCTCCCCCCAAAGCTACCGAGTCACCCTCATCAGAAACTCCCCTCGCAAGAGTCAACTCAAAGCGACCAGGCGCACTAAGCGACCGCCTCGCCTGGATGCGCAAGCTAGAAGAGAAAGACACCACCAAACCAAACAACGACCTGACCGTGCTTCAGAAACGAGCTGGCTCCGTTTCCGACAAGCTCGCCATGTTCGAGAAGAAGAACCTCTCCGTCACATCCGCCTCCTCCAAGCGCCTCCAACTCCCAGCGCGCAACACAAGCAGCCAGTACTCCGCGTCGGTGCGCGAGTCCATCTTCTCAGCGGATGGCAGCGCTTACGCCCCGTCGCCTCGCACGTCCATGGACACGGCGCGGACGTCCTCCGTTATGAGCTATTACGACGATTCCTTCCGAGAGAAACTCGAGTCAATCGTCGGGCAAGAGCCTGAGGCGAATAAGCAAGCAGAGGAGTGATATTGATTCCTCACTCAGTGTTCTTGTCGGCGTTGATGCGATGATTACAGATCAGAATGAAGATGATTTAGAATGTATTTATTGATATTATTAGAGCAGGCTTCTTTCATACGATGGCGTTGATGACTTATCTTAGATATGATTTGAGAGTAGAATCTCTTTAATATACTGCACGCAATGTGTCACTTACATCGAGTTGTCTTTGCCACGTTTAGTTATACAAGTTGCATACAAGCTACAGAGATGATAAGTACTGCCTCAGACCAACTGATGAAGAACATCCTTTCCGTCTAGCCATCTCTCGACATTCTCTGCCTGTTCAGCATACCAGTTATTCATAATACCCTCCTCCACGTACCCCATGTGCGGCGTTAACAGAACCCGACTCTTACCTTTTCCCCAGTCCTGAGAACGCCATGGGCTATCTGCAGGCAGAGGCTCAGACTCAAAGACATCCAGTGCCACGCCGCGGATGAAACCGTCATTCGCTGCTTCGAGCAGTGCCGCCTCGTCGATGAGTGCACCACGCGAGGTATTAACCAGCAACGCCGACTTCTTCATCGCCTTGAGTTCCTTGGCGCCAATAAGACCGCGGGATCGCTCACTCAAAACGTAGTGCAGAGTGACTACATCAGCAGTTGCAAAGAGCTCCTCCTTGCTCACTGCTTCAAATGTCTTGTCGCCATCCTCGTCCACAATAGGCAAGCCAAGCTTAGCAGCCATTTCATCAGCCCTGGATTGGTCCAAGCTGCTGCTCCAGCACTTGATCTTCATACCAAAGGCCAAAGACCCGATTCTCGCCACTGCTGCTCCTAGCCTTCCCAGACCAACAACCCCCAGAGTCTTTCCGGATAAACCAATAGCCATATCTGATTGCCATCCACCAGCTTTGATGGAAGCATCATCTGCCGCAATGTTTCTAGCAAGAGCAAGAATCATGGCCCAGGTATGATGAGTGGCAGGATGGCTTCCTCCTTTGCGGATGTCCTGCTTATGCAGCGTTCCGTCACTCCGCCCGCGACCTAGCGCTGAAGCAACAGTGATCCCCAGATCCTTGGCAGTCTCTAGATCAAAGGTCTCAAACTGAGTACCGGTACATAACAGCAACTTCAAGCTGGGCAGTTGGCGTAGTAGCTCTCCAGAGAACGGGGTTCGCTCACGCATGGTAGAGATGATTTCGTATGGGTAGAGCTTCTCCACCAGACTTCCTTTTTCCTCTGCAGTCCGCTGAGGAAGGTAGGTGCCACATACGTCAACTTGTAGTTTTGAAGGCTGCAAGTACGCAAAGTGCTTCGCTGAAATCCGAAGATAGTCATCCAAGATTAACAGGGAGGGTGTTGATGATTTTCCATGGAGTGGAACCCCACGAGCGGTGCGGCCAAGCGAACGCATAGTGGGAAGCATTTTAGTTGAATGGTCTTTTGCAGTCCGAGAGGATTCTGTTGGAATTTTAAAGAGAATTTCGTTGACTTTGAGTCAATTCAGATAAATTCAAATGATTATAAATGATCTGCAGCGACGCTTGTTAATCGAAAGCCGACCCAACTCGGCTCGGCCGAGTCAGCTCCGAAAGTCAACAGACTTGCTACCGGGTAAATACAACAATGGAGATATTTTCATCACGACTACTTATTGATCACCAGGTTGTATGATAATGAACAACCGATGCTATAAGATACATTCAACAGATGGTCTACTCTATTGTTTTTCATTAAAGCTGTATCATTTTACGACCCCGATAACATAGCAAATAGCAAGAAGCCATAAAACTTCAATCATGAGCCGAACAACACTACCAGCTGCTGAAGCTTTACCCCAAACGCAAATCAATCTCCAGAAACTTCACCACTGTCATGATGCTACCTGTGAGAAACAACTGCATTATTCTCAAACAAAAATTCACTGCTTCGGACACTTGTCCGAACGTCCCCTCAATGTCCATCGTCATTTACTAAGGTTAAGCTTAATCGTGCTAGCCAACATCACCCCCACAGGATCTAACCTGTACTGAAGCCTCCCCCGCGGGGAAGTGGACTTCGGCAGCTCTTCATGAAGCCGATTGCTGCTGTAATCGGTATATCAGGCACCGAACCTCGGGCTTGGCAGATTTGGTTTACTTATTTAAGCTTGCACCATGCGCTGACTCTCGTCATGTAGGCAGTGCACGGATTCCCAGTCTTGTCGCGTTCCAATGCATCTTTTGCGTATGTCGAGTGCCCTTAGGGCAGCAGGCGTGGCGTTGCTTGCCATCACCGCCACTGCTTCTTCTACTCCAGCCAAGGATTGGACGAGTCTGAAGCTTCTCACCAAGTCTGCTGATGCTCAGGTACAGACAGTTATTGACGGTAAAAATGCCTCATTGACTGGCTCACCGAGATCACTGACGCGTGAGGTTCGTCGACTCGTCACACCATTTGTCTGGCCAAACTCGACCTACTACCACGATGAATCTCTGTTGCCACATATCGAGGAGATGCTCTCTGTGTTGGTAAAGGTCCAGCATGACGACGGGACTTATACTGTCGGCAATAGACACTCCCCGCCAGACACTGGCTTCTTGATCGAAGACTTTGGCATCATGGTACGCATCCTCGAACGCGACGATCACGAGGCGTCGCAACCTTTCGCCAAAGCCATGCGTGGTATTCTCAAAAAGGCTGCACCTGGTCTTGCAAAGGGCGGGATTCATACCCCCAATCATAGATGGAAGATTTGCAGCGCCTTGGCACGCATCTCCAACATCATTGAGGACCCGAGCTTGACTGAGAGGATCGATGAGTGGCTTGCAGAGGGCATCGACATCGACGCTGATGGCATCTACTCGGAACGCAGCCCAAACTACTACTCGGCCGTCTCGAACCCTTCTCTATTGACGGTAGCCCACGAGCTCAATTACACAGAATTGGTCAGCTTTGTCCGCAAAAACCTCGAGCTTTCCATTGAGCACGCAGAGCCAAATGGGGAGATGGAGACAATTCAGAGCCGTCGACAGGACCAGTCTCAGCCTCCAGGGGTCAACATGGGCAACTTTTACCCACAATTCCGCGAGCTTGCTCTGCTGGACGAGAACGGCCGATTCGCTGCAATGGCTCGTCTAATTGAGAAGCGAGTTGGACCTCAATTGGGCGATTTTCTAGGCAACCTCATAGAACGCCCTGAGCTGTCAGCAGAATTACCCAAGTCAAAGCAACCATTTTCCGACTTCAAGAAGCACTACAAGTCAGCAGGTCTCGTGCGAGCCAGACGTGGAAAGCTCACAGTGTCGGCATTTGGTGGGTCGGATTGGTATACCATGGACGGAAAGAAGGCCGAGTTCTACAACCGAATGGGCTCGGGCCTTTCGACTAATCCGACCATGTTCCGAGCCTGGAACGGAAAGGCTGTTCTTGAAGCCGTGCGACTTAGTGCTAGCTTTTTCAGCATGGGTCACTTCCGGTCAAATGGTGTTGAGCTATCCAAGGATGGTACCATCAGGTTGGGGAGCGAGATCGAAGTTCCATACTACCTACCTATTCCAGCCGACAAACGCGACGACAACGGGACATATGCGCTGTCCAAGTCGGTCGATGGTCGTTTTTACGCTATGCTTGACTTTACTAACCGCCCAACCAGTGTTCGTCGTCTCAAGACCGATGTTGAGATCAAGCCTACGAAGAAGGGATATGATCTCGATTTTGAAGTTACAGGAGAGGACAACGTCGAGTTGACCTTTGAACTGACTTTCAGAGAGGGTGGAAAGTTCAAGGGAGTGAAAGAGATACTTGATAGCGATAACACAACCATATACCATCTCATTGAAGGAAAGGGAGAGTATAGTATGGGCGATGATAAGATCACGTTTGGGCCAGGGAATGGAAATGGACCAATTGCGGCTGATGCTGGTGAGCAGTATAGTTGGCACGGTGGCAATCTCACTTTACAAGGGAGCCATGTGTACATCACAGGCAAGACGCCACTGAAGTATACACTGAACCTAGGCTTTGCCTAGATAGACTAAGCAAGAGGCAGCTCTTGGGTGAATGAAAGGTAAATAGTTGGATCAATTATAGCTAGTGGATAAGCATCACATGTTCACCATTTCATGAGGCAGAGTAGTTCATATCTCAAACATTACTTGGTATTAGTCTTCGTCTAAGATCAACTCAACATTAATATACATTACGACCGTCTCATAAACATCTATTCCTCAAGCTCAGCCAGCATGACATCAGCAGCCTTCTCAGCAACCATGTAGGTCGACACAGCCGTGAAGGTACCAGGGATGCGAGGATAAACCGAAGCATCAACAACACGAAGGCCAGTGACACCTCGAACTCGGAACTTGGAGTCGAGAACCGCCATCTTGTCATCATCAGCACCAATGGGGCAAGTCGAGGAAGCGTGGTGACCCCAAGCAACATCCTTGACATAAGTCTCAATGTCCTTCTGAGAAGTGACACCAGCACCGGGAAGAACCTCAGTGACGTTGACAGGCTGGTTGGCCAGTGCGCTGCGGGTAAGCTCGACAGCCTCGTACAGGGCCTGGAGATCAGCAGAGGAGTCGCCGTTTCCAGTGTCGAAGTAGTTGAAGGTGATGGCAGGCATGTCAAGAGGATCGGCGGACTTGAGGAGGACTTCACCAGCGGTGTTGCGGGGGTGAGCCTTGAGGATGGCCCATGAGAACCAGTTGTGCTCGATGGTGGCGTTGACGGCATACTGGGGGAAGTATCCCCTGAAGTTGACGGGACCGCCGAAAGCGAAGATGTCAAAGTTGTCCTTCTCAGCAGTGGAGCTCTTGTAGAACATGGAGGCAGCAAGACCGGAAGAGGAGTAGATGCCGTGATCGCCATCAACGGGAGCTCTCCAGCGGTCGACACAAGGGTCCTCATCGGTGTAGAGACCGAAAGTGCAGCCATCGAAGGATGTGAAGTTGTTCTCAAGAGTTCCCTGGACGGAGATCTCGTAGTGGTCCTGCAGGTTGGTACCGACACCGGGAAGGTCAGAGATGACGGGAATGTCAAACTTCTTCAGCTCATCAGCAGGTCCGATACCGCTAAGCTTGAGAATCTGAGGAGTGTTGTAAACACCACCGGCGACGACAACCTCACGAGAAGCAGTGGCGTTACCAGGGGTACCAGCAGCACCGGTAGCAAGAGGACTGGCCTTGTAGAGATGCTTGCCGTCAAGGAACTCAACGCCATTGGCACGAGGGGGCTTGGAGTCATCAAAGGTAACCTTGGTGACGTAGCAGTTGGTTCGGACATCGAGGGGATACTTCTTGGTGCCGTTGGGGTGCTTGGCATCGCGGACAGAAAGAATGAACTCACGGGGTCCAATACGGCTAGCATCCTTGGTAGACAGAGGGATCTGGTAGAAACCAGCCTCCTGATCACGAGCCAGAGTATCGGCGTTGGCATCGTCGGCAAGCAGACCATCCAAGGTGATGTTCTTGCCACTCATCTCAGTCAGAGCAACGGCACCTCCGCCGAGAATGCTGAAAAGCTGCTCGTCGTTGAGGGGAATGCTGAGGGGAGCAGTCTCGGTGCTGAGCCAGCCATCGTAGCCGTGGCCAGCCTCGCCTGCAGGGCGGTAGTTGTTGTCCTCAGCCTTGACAAAGTACTTGCGCATGTTATCCGCTGACCAGGAGTCATCACCGGTCAGAGAAGCGATGTACTCAAAGTCAGACTGGTGGGGGTACACGGCGATCAAAGCATTGTGAGCCGTGCAGCCACCAAGAGCTTGGGTGCGGGGATACAGAGTACCCTTCATCTCAGCGCCCTCAGGGGGGTTAAGACCAGTGTACTCTCCGTTGGGAGTATCGTAAGTAGTCTTGTAGTCACGAGCTTGTCGCTCATCATCGGCATAGTGACGAACAAAGAAGTTCCACGAGATCTCAGGATCCTCAGACGCATTGGCAGAGTAAGCAGGGACGGTGTAGTTGAGAGAGGCATAGTCGTCACCGGCTTCGATGAGAAGGGTCTTGTGACCAGCCAGTGCGAGACGAGCAGCCAGAGGACCTCCTCCGGCGCCGGAGCCAACGACGATGTACTCGTAGCCTGTGAGGGCCACGGCGCACACGGAAGCTGGGGCGGCCAGAAGGCCGGCAAAGAAGGCGTGTCTCATGATTTGTTAAGTGAGATCCAATCAAAGAGTGTTATAAATGAATGACGTCCCTGTGGCCGTGGTGGGTCAACGAGGGAGAATGAAGGAATGACTGTAATGAATGGATGGTGAGGTACAGCATAAGTCGGCTGCAACTTGCTATTTATCTATCCATCAAACCGGAGCAGAATCTCTCAGTATCCCAATTTAAACCAGGGGAGGTCTCGTTGAATGTAACGACCTCGGCATTCAGTCCAGAACAAGTCAGGGGTCAACTGCACCACCAACTCCCCATTATACATGCAGAACCAATAGCTACCAGACGCAACGTCGAGTGCAGAATCTACAGGCTTGGCTCACACATGGCATAGCAGGCAGTGCAATACCACCCCAACGAGCAACCAGACCAACTACCACGAACGGCATAGCCTCGGCTCACACTAGCTGCCTTTCCGCCCATCCCCGAACATAGAGCTTGGCCCGGGTTCCACTCCCGCGGGATCAGAGTACACAACCGGGGCGTTGAGCCGCACGCCGTTACATGCACCAACCAGAACCATCGAAACCCCCGCTGCAGGGGGCGTTGCATCGAGGATCGGCGGCTAGGGTTCAATTCCGCAGCTCGACCGTTTTCTCCTGACCATAATTTTGGAGGGGCCTTTATGCGGTGCAGAATATAGGCAACTGGTCCGTTCGCCGGGCTTAAGCAAAGCCGTTATGTGCAAGGATAATAAATGAAATGCGGTCATAATTCCAGTGAGGCCGAATATAGCCACCTACATCCGATTCTAATGCCGGGCCCAAGACGCAGGAGTTGTAGTTCTAGAAAACGTCTCCTGGCTTGGCTGCAACCTATTCCTCCCTCAGCTTCTTGTTCTTCCCAGAAAAGTTCTCCTCGACTATCTTATTCTGACGAATAATCTCATCCCTCGCCCCCTCCCACGTTTTTCTCTTCCCCGTCTCAAAGTACCGAAACATGTGAGCTGTCTCTACACCGTGATTCATGAGGTTGTACATCTGTCTATCCTTCCACCAGAACTTCCACCCTGCCCATCCCCACCCGAGATTCTCCATTCCCGTTCCCGCTTGCTGGTGCATCCAGGGTTGGAACTCATACTGTTTGACCATGCTCACGTCAAGATGCGGCTCTCGGGCCCAGTTTGCTGCGACCCATTTTTGATGGTCGTCAACCCATTGCTCCATCTCTTGGTAAGATGGTAGTTTGCTCACGCCTCGCCAAATGTTGGAAATGGCCATGTTCATGACATCGCTGAATGAAAAGCCATTGTTCTTGCCAAATGCCGAGTAACATAGCACAGCGCAACTGTCTGCGTACTTTGGAGCAAAGACATTCATGTATAGGCGCTGAATGGCAGGTCCATGATAAGTCGGTGACTTTGGCATACTCTTTTCGATGAAAGGAGAGACAGAAAAGTCGGCGCAGTAGCCTGTAGTTAAGATAACGCTGTCCACATCATCCACTACAGTCCCGTCATCAAACTCGATTGATCGTCCACCCAAGAAACGTTTAATTCCATGCAGACTCGTCAAGCTACCGTCCTGCAAGTGAGGTACAATATCTTGAATAAGACCCGGTAATCGCAACGTCGGGTTACGGAATGACTGAATCCGCCATTCCGGGTCGAGTTTCACATCTGAGAATTGAGACGAGAGAAGTTTGGCTCCCCAGCCCGCCAAGTATCTGTAGAAATTAGGTATGTTCTTTGCCATCCACTGGGTAATCTGGCGACGTCTCCACGAGATTATTAGATCTGTCGGCCGTCCTTTACGCATGCGCTTGACCATCATCTGGCCGCTTCTATGGGAGACGTAGACCTTTTTCGCTGTGCTGATTACTTGCGGCGTGATCTCGCCTGTTGTCGTGGATAGGCCGAGAATCACCACTGTTTTGTCCCGGAACGCTTCTGGGCTAGAGATTACTGGTTAGTACGGTCGAGAGAACTGCGTATCATAGTACCACGAACCTTCGGTATTGTTGCGAGTGTATAATTTCCCCTTCGAATTTATCCTGCCCCGGAAATGTCGGCATCACTCTTTTGGTCTGATAACCGTGGCAGAAAACGACCTTGTCAAATGTGCGAGACTCTTTTTCGCCCGTTCCGACTTTCTCAACCTGTAATATCCACCCGCTATCGTCGCTGTTGCGGTTGACGACTTGAACACTGCTGTTGAACGAGATATGCTCTATGAGCTTGAAGTGCTCCGCGTAACTCTGCATAAACTCTTGAAAATTTGCTGCGCTGAGATAGACGGGATACTCTGGTTGCACTAAGCATGCGTCATCACATCAGCGGAGTCAGGTCCGACTTACTGTCTGGTATTGGAAAGTCGGTAAATCCACAGGTATACTTGCTGATATTTGCACTCGTAGACGCTAATGCAGTGGTCCATCCATTATTTGCATCATATGCCCACAATCCCCCGACGGAACTGCGTCTCTCAAACAACGTCGCGTTGAAACCATCTTGGAGAAGCTGCTTGAGCATAGAAATGCCCGTAGGACCTTGACATGTTAGAGACCAGTACGAGATGTAGCGCGATTACCTACCGGCGCCTATGATGGCAACACTGACGTGCTTCATCTTGCCTTGCCCTATTTTAGTTGTAAATGAATATGAAAGTGTTCGAAAGGTGAGGCCTGCGTGGTATTTATGTTGCCTTATCAAAGGATCAGATATCCAATTAGCCGATTGGCAAGTTCGGAATGTGGCGCTCTTTATTGGCTGTGCGTTGCACGAGGCTAATTTCTTACATGTCATCATCCATCTTCCTGGGATCGGCATTTCTGACAAGCTTTCCACTGCAACGTCGGTAGGCTATTGCACTCCGGATCTTGCGGAAGTGATAAAAATATTGACCAACTACCGGGTTACATTCAGCATCAAG